TCCTGTGCTTACAAAATAAGCCATGGAAACGCTTTGGTGGAAATATAATAAAGCCATAAAGCACGGGCTTCACAGACACAAACCACTTGGCCAAGGCTCCCCAACCAGGCCCACGCAGTGACCTAGTCCTCCAAGCACGGTGGGTGCCTCTCCCTGCCTCTCCCTGCCCCTCCCTGCCTCTCTCTGCCCCTCCCTGCCCCTCCCTGTCTCTCCCAGCCCCTCCCTGCCTCTCCCAGCCCCTCCCTGCCTCTCCAGGCCTCTCTCTGCTCCTCCCTGCCCCTCCCTGCCTCTCCAGTGAAGAAAGTGTGGTCAGAGGCATCAGATGCCAGTGCCTGCCTTTTCATTCAGTGGGCGATTTTGCCTTGGGGCGAGGCTCAGGTCTCTGCTCCAGTTTTTCCCATTGAAAAATACCCAGACTGGTCAATCTCCGAGGGAAGGCGGGGGAGGGTGGGTGGGAAGAGACCTATCAAAGACCTTGTATGCATACATGCATAACCTATGGACACAGACAATAGGGGGGTGAAGGCCTGGTGTGGGGGGCTAGAAGGAGTAAATGGAGGGGAAAAGGGGACATATGTAATACTTTCAACAATAAAGAGTTTTTTAAAAATGCAGTTGGTAATAACGAACACTCGGACCTGTCTGATTTTTTATCCTCACTTGAGGAATCCATTCGCTACAGGGCCTCAGGTCATAATAACCAGCAGGGAGAAAATCACCGCAACCACAAGAAACAATTGTGTCTCCAACTGTTGGCCTGAAAAACGGAACTTGTTTCATCTTTGCCATGGGATGCCGTCATCTGCCTCCCCCGCTGGCTCACTGAGCTGGCCTCCTCTGTGCTCCACCCGCATGGACAGAGCACTCTGCATGTGAGCAGCGCACAGCCCCGCCCTCTCCTGCCGTCCCCGGGAGGCGCCCACTTAGGGACGTTTCCCCTACCCATCTCTCCTCCTCGTGACATTTTAATTCCGGAAGCCTACTGAATGTCTCCCTTTGGAGCCCACATTGTACATGGAAGAGTCTTCATGCTCCCCACAAACCCATTTTCACCCCCTGGGGCAGCACTGCCCCCACCATGCGCACACAGTAGAAAGGGATCTACCTCCCAATGTGTGCCCAGAGCCGGGAAGGTCCCCTTCAGCTCGGCAGGGCTTTCAACCGGGGCTTCCGAAGGGACTCAGAACCCCAACATGCAAACAGAGAAGCCACGGTTCCATCTTACCTCAAGGCCACACACCATCCGAGAGGTCGGCATCCCTGGGGAGGAGGCCACCTCACTCTCCTAGGACCCCCCCCAGTCTCTGGGGCCGACAGCACCTCTCGGGGGCCAAGCCCAGCTAGACCTCAACCAAGGCCTAGCCTCATCTTTGAGGGCAGATCCCACCCACGTGCATTTCTTGGGAAGTTTTCAAAGGATTCTGTGAGGTGTTAGGATTATAAAAATACACAGCACAACTGACTACCTGGGAAGAAGTCATGGACACGCGTGGACACGTGTGGGTGGCGAGGGTGAGCCGATGAACGAGGTGAAGGGATGTGTGTGCGTGGGCACGAGCGGGTGTGAGGGCCCTGCAGCGGCGAGGTGCGTGCGTGCCCTGCAGAGAAGGGCCAGCGCTAGCCCCGTGGTGGGATCTCCTGATTCTGTGGGCTGTTATGTGAAATCTGGATTTGATGTGAAATCTTCTGTTTTTTTTAAAACGTGGGCTTTACATTTTAAAACCCTTCATGGACTTCAAAAAGGAAACACAGCTGTAGGCAACATAAGCCTATAAATTTGTGAGCTATTTGCAAACAAGCAGCGGGAAAAACGTCCCCTCTTCCCGGAGGAGAGGGGCCCTGACCTGAGGTGCGTCCCAGTCGCAGAAGGTGCTGACGGGAGAGGGGTCGCTCCCACACAGCAGGAAGGTGGGGAACTACACACAATGTCCCTGCCTCATGGCCTCACTAAGGAAACACAGAGAGGTGTGCCCTGACTACTTAAAGAAATGGAAGTGGCAGCCTTCTGTGACCACCATGAGGCAGACTTCCTGCATTTTAAGGCGCTACATATAGCAGAAACTCTCATCATCACTGATTTCGCCGGAGCGAACCATTTAATAATGGTGCCTTTTTGGCCTAATGAAACAATAGGTAACATCCTCCAACCAATATTATGCTACACATGAATTTTAAAATTCCCAAAATATGTAAGCTATCCTATCTCCTTAAAATTTTCCTTGGTATAAGAATACAAGTAGACAAAACTGGTTTGGCTCAGTGGATAGAGCATTAGTCTGCAGACCAGTCTGCGGACTGAAAGATCCCAGGTTCGATTCCGGTCAAAGGCATGTACCTTGGTTGTGGGCACATCCCCAGTAGGGGGTGTGCAGTAGGCAGCTGGTCGATAATTCTCTCTCATCGATGTTTCTAACTCTCTCTCCTTCTCTCTTCCTCTCTGTAAAAAAAAAAAAAAAATCAATAAAATATATTTTAAAAAAAGAAAAAGAATATAAGTGAATCCCAGTCTGTGTTCCATGGCTTACCTTTTGGACAATAACAGACATTGTTTAGAGGTTTGGGGTCTTTCTGAATACAGTCCCTCCCAAGTCACAGAGGCTGTGCCAAGAGCCTTCTCCAGACTCAAGAGCTCCAATTATTTTTCATATCAAGACTCTAATAAATAATTAATGCAAAACTTTGTATTTTGCAGCATTCAAATCAGTGCGACTCAGAGATAGGCACAATGTAAAAGAAAAGGTGATAAATTTGAAGAGTTTCAGAGTAGTTTTGGGTTCAAAGTCAATGGCTAAGGTTAAGTCAATGTAGAAAAAAATTACCCAATCTGTAAACTCTGTAGCTAAGATCTGAGTGATGGGAATAACCTCTTATACAATAAAAAATATATATATATATCTCAGTGATATCAGCAGTTAATGTTAATAGCCACAAAGTGCTTAAAACTGAAAATAAAGAGTTACAGATTCTTAGCCATCAAGTATTGTTAGCATACTCCAGTTTTGACATACTATCATAAAAGTAATAAAACTCATAAATCAATTGGCTGTCTGCTTCAAGGATTTACTTGACTCAAGCTGCTCAGTTAAAAGGAAAAATATCACACTGAATATCTTTTAGCTCCCTACACATTAGGAACTCATAGAAATGAAAAGTTCTGGACAAAAAAATGGAGACTAAAATGTATAGGTGCCGTCATTCAAACAAAGCAAAGTTCTTAATTATAATGGAGACTAGGTTTTCAGTCTTTTTATCTCAAACGTCTCTAAATTTCCAACTTTAACATAAAAATGGGATTTAAAATGTGATGCTGCCAATGTCTAGAATAAAACAGCTGTTCACTGCTGGAGGGAACTAAGATGAGCCTGAGTGCAAAGTCCACACAAAGTTCCCCGAAGCCAGCCCTTGGCCTTGTGCTGGTTCAACACAGAAGTTCTGATCACAATGAGAAAACAAAGGTGATGGGAAGTTTTCTATATGACCAGATTTATAGAGTTTGTCAGATCTTTTGCCTGAGGCTATCCTTTTCATTTTTTGTTCTTAAAACTATTCTGTTTTATAAAATATATGGTTAATAAATGAGAGCTTCCCTTAAATTGTTTGTATAAATTTACTTTCATAAGCAAAATGTTAGTAAACCTATACCTATAGGTTTAATTTTAATTCCGACTAAATCTTAAAATAGGAAAACCCTGCTCTATATGAGTCAGTGTGTTGATTTAATAGGGAGGTGCTCTGGTGTGTGAATGAGGCCCGAGGCAGGAAAGGTCAAGGGAAGGAAAAGGGTGGTGGTCCTTTAGGGCAAGCCCAAGGGTTCACCTCTGAGGAATGACACCCCCCTCCCCAAGCACCACCTCAGAGCAAGTTATTAGTCCACCCGTATCACCCACAGATGCCGTGTTTACTGTGGAAGGTATGAGACTGCCTCTAGGGGCTTCTATTAATAGCTCTATGGCTCATGAGTCTAATCTATGACTTTGGAAATTGACCAATGAGAACAAGAAAGCATTGCCTGAGATGTCAATATCTGGATGAACAGTCATGTAAGCCTGAGGTCACTTCTGACTTCTCCCTCAGGCATGTAAGGGAGGACCAAGGGGCAAGAAGATAGGAAGCGTTGGAGTAGAGCATCTCACTGCATCCTTCACTACCTCTCCTGTGAGTCTTGATCAAGAAACCATTCTTCTCCTTCCTCATCTTCTCTCCCATTCTCTGCACACACATACCCAGCTGTGCACTCCTGCCTCCACCTTCGTCTTCTTGCTACACGCAGGGAGATTCAGAGGGAGACTGGGGAGGGTCAATCCCCTTTGGTGGCAGCTGGGTTGGTGGTATGGGCAGTAGCACAAATCTCACCCCGAAATAATCTGTGGGCAAAGTTCTGAGGGGTCTAACCTTGGGACCCCAGTTAAGATTTCTCCCAGAAGCTAACTGATTCTAGAGCACAGCGAGAGTCAGTACACTCAATTACTCTTAGAAAGAAATAGTTCAATGGTAGCAAAACGAAGCAACAAAGCATGCAACCCAAGTGAAGGCAGATTTCTAAAACAGAGGAAACCAAAGATGGCAAAAACGCATCTTAAAATTCCAAGACTCTCTCCATAATCCCTTCTCAGGCTTCGGTTGAGTCAGGTATTTCCTAGCTCATGGGTATATTTCTTTCTCTCAGCCTCATCACATGCTCCTGGAGTAATTTTGACTCAATTCACCGGCTACTTCGGTGTTTTCTCTTTAAAAAATGGACTGATGGGAGCTGTGAGTTACGTTTTCTGACGGGGAGATGTAATTCTGCACGAACCTCCTGCTTCCCAATCCCACAGGTAACCCGCCCTTAGGACAGACAGGGGCTGCCTCCTGCGCTGACACTCAGTCATGTTTCTCTGTGTGAGGTGTGTGCATGTGCGTGCACACTGTTCCTCCGAGGGAAGGGGGGTCCATGTCCTAGGGACACAGCGTGAGACCCCCGCTCAGCGTGGAGGGGGGCGCTGGGAGGGGGCGCTGACCTGCACTGGCTCGGGCGGCAGCTGGACCACGTGCTGCATGCGCTCGCTGTGGTGGTGCCTGGACTCCTCCTCGTAGATGACGTCCCGCTCGTGCTGGGGGAGGTTCAGGAAGCGGCGGATAGTGCACAGGTTCTCCCAGAGCGTGCGGTTCTCCGGGCTGGGGTTCTCCTTCCAGCGGAGCAGCTCGCACAGCCAGCCCTGGGGAGAGAAGGTCACTGGAGGTCACCGGAGGAGTGCAGAGAGGAGTCTGCTGGCTGCAGGCAGCACCTCCCATGTGATCACACTCTCCTGTCCAAACTGCTCCCACCAACCTGGGAGGCACCGGAAGAGTCAGCACCTCAAACCCCAACCATGGCCACTGGGTGGGTCATACCAATGCCCCAGAATTTTCACTCTTGTTCATCATCTTAGCACCTTTCCTATTACGTACATCCTCAGTTCCTTTGTACAAGATGCTCAAGCAAGATCAGTTATCCAACCCTCGGAAAAAAAGCAATTTGTGTAGGTCTACTACAATTTTTAAAATTAGCCAATTGCCTGCTGACCGAAAGGTCCCCAGTTGGATTGTGGTCAAGGGCACATGCCCAGATTGTGGGCTTGATCCCCAGTAGGGGGGGTGCAGGAGGCAGCCAATCAATGATTCGCTCTCTATCTCTGTCTCCCTTCCTAAAACTAGCCAACTGGGTGGTATCCCACCCTAAGAAAAGAGTGAAGACGAACAAATATGTATTACAAGATGGAAAATTCTACAGAGTGTGAAGAGCTCTGAATTCTCTAGGGAGAAAACAGTCTTACAATCATCAGTAACTCCACCTAACAGAAGCAAGCACCTTAGCTGGAAGGGCGGGGGGGAGGGGGGAGTGTCTATTTGCTCCACCTCTGGATGCCTGGGGTTCCAGGCCCTCTTCCCCATCACCTCCCCGCCACAGCCACCCCTGCCGGAAGGCAGGCAGCGGGCCGGGCCACACCTGCAAATGCGTGCCTCCCACCTCTGGCGCCCACATGTTCTCGCCACGGCACGAGGAAGAACATGCCATGCAAATAATGACGGAGCATATGAAAATAATACAGAGGATGCTGTCAACATCGCTCGCTGACTCGTGTCAAAATATTTTCCCCAGCCGCCTTCTAACTCATCACTCCCAAGCTACGCCGCTCATTTTAAAAGCAAGAACTGTCCCACGTCGCGCCTCCTGTGACAGAGCCAGAGTTTTCCTAGCGAGGTGCATCCGTGAACACAAAGGACTCCGTGAAAAATGGACCCCACACCTCCACCAATCTCTGTATCACCGCTGGAAGCCAACGGGCGTCCCGACACCCACCCTGAAGGCCCATACTGTATCCTGAGCCATTGTTCCTCTGACACTCCACTGTGTCTTCTGCCTTAACACCCCGTCCTCCCATTCCCCCCTCAAAAAAGAGGCAAGATTTGATTATCTCCGCTGCATCGGCCAAGACAGCAACACCAGCTGTTCGCATTGTGCAGCCTCCTCCTCGCGGCCTCCATGTTAATAACCTGATCATTCCATTTTCCCCTTCAACTGCTGGCTGCGGCGCCGCGCCGAGACAAAAACCCAGGCCCATCTGCAGCAGCTGTAGGCACTGAACTGTGAAGCCACCGGGGATTTATAAACTAATCTGTAACACAACACTGCCTTGTTTTTACAAGTGAGAGGCCACATTTGCGCAGACCTGATCTTTGCTTGCCATAAACGGGGAGCTGGGGAGAGTTAGAGGGTGAGGAAGAATGAAAGCGAGGTATCTAATCATTTCTTTGGAGGTGTTTTGCCAAGCGTTTTCATAGATTTCTTTTGTCTCCAACTCAACAGAGAGATAGGTAGGATCTCGTTGATTTTCAAGGTGCAACATTTAGGAACACTGCAGACAACATGTTTACCTCTTTCAGAAAACACCTAATTTTTTTTTTAAACCTCCCAGTCCCAACGTGTTTTCTCAAGGGTTCCTTGGTACAAAGGAAAGGATTCTTGAAATGGAAACGAAACCATCTGTGGGGGGGGGGGGGGGGGGGGGGGGGAATAAGCTATTTCCCTGTCGTTTCACAGATCTGAATGCGTCTCCAACCGAACTCTTTTCAGATCTCTCAAACAGGTATGCTTAACCTCTCCCAGGGGAGGCCACAGCCTGGAGCCCGACCATTTCACAGAGAAACAGAAACAGAAGCCTGCATCTGTTAAAGGATGGCGCTTGGAGGTGCCCGGCACCTGCTGTTCCTCCAGAGGAGTGAAGTGCATTGTGGGAAGCCAGCGCCTGAAAGGGGACAGGTGACAGCTGAGTGGTACCTCCACTTAGGACCCTCGGAATGTCTCGCACAACAGCCACTGCGGTGGCGTTTGATTTATAGGCGCCGTTGTAATCGGCGCTTGTTACAGTCACTTAGAGCCAACCACGGGCCTCGTCATGGGCCGCGCTGTCTGCCATCCGTCTTGTCTTGAAGGAGTGCGGTGCTCAATTTGCCCGCTGACATGCGAGGTCCCGACCTTGAAGCTATTAGGGAGCGGATTAGACACAAGTGTGATCATGTGTGCAGACATAAGCAAACCAAATTAATTTCTGGCACAGGGAGAGAGCCAACGGGACCCTGTTCCCGGGGCACCAGAGCGCTCCCCCCCCCACCCCTCTCCACCCCTATCCCTGATGGAGCTGAGCTAATCGCATGTTTAAGGGAACCCGGTTTTGAAGATGAAGCACATTCATGGTATTTAGAGGGTTATTAATCTAGTTTCCTCACCAAGTGTTTGCTTGGCTGATCAGATTAAGGGCTGGAGCCTTCCGCAGTGCGCCCCCACCGCAGCAGGCCCCGGGAAATCTGTGATACTTCACAGCCTCGGACATATTGCACCATGTGTACCCAGCTGCTTCAATAATTAGCTTATGAATGTATCAGCTGGTTCTGCGATTTTTATAAATAATAACCAACCTACGGAGCAGAAAGATTGTCAGGAGCCTGACAGCAGCACAAACCTGGTTCTACTGAATGCTGGGATTCCCCCCTCATGGAGCTCCTGTGGTGTCATTTAGAAGTTATTTATTTTGCATCTGAAATGGCCATGTATCCTTGTCCGTGTGTTCTTCACTGCGGCCATGATGTGCTCTCTCCTCACCCTCCTATTTTATGCTCACCTTCCAGAAACCTATTCCTCCATCTTTTTATTCAGCCCATCCCTCTGCCAGTCCATTAGAGAAGCTTATCTCTGTCTTCTCAGTGGGGTGTCTCATGAGCTTGTTTGGTGGCTAGTGAATGTGTGAGAGAGTACCACGCTCTTGCCTGAACACACATGTATGTAACTGTGAGTGAACGCATCACAGGAGAGATACAGAGTCCCCACTTTGGGATTTTTTTTTCATCTACATAAATTTTGCATGCCATCCAAGAAAGTTTTGCAGTATCAGGCAAAAAAAAAAAAAGTGTAAATGTCAAATAAAACAGTGACAGATGACAGTATTCTCTATTGAATAGCACTGTTTCTGCCGTGCATGTTCAATGGGAACTCATGAATTATTAATAAACAAATCTCCTTTTTCTGTTAAAAATCTCAAGTAGGTTTTTTGTTGTTGTTCCCTGTGTGGTAGTATGTGGTGCATTCCAGGAGAATGAGTTCCATTTTGGAAATGCTGATACAGACGTTCCTCTGATTCCCAGGCCTGGCCTGGTCCGTGAGAGGTACCAGGAACTTTTAATGTGGTTTTAAGTTTTGACCAAATGTTGGCCAATTATTCCTATAGTCAGTTGAGGATTTTTAGGATGGTAAAAATGAGGCTATGTGTTTGAGCACCATTGAGAAGCACAGAGAGCGTTCAACTTGGATCCCGGAGAACTGACTGCTAAGTTCCTGTCCCAGCATTAAATAACTGAGTGACCTTCAGGCAAGTGATTACCCTCTTGGAGCTACTGGGAAATTAACTATAAAATATGGCACATCCCATGATTTGTTACCTTGTTATTTGTCAGAAATAAATATTTGTTGACTATTAGGATTAAAGGATAAAGAAGAAATCACCTTGACCAAGGGATCAAGGTCAACATTACCAGTGATGTCATGTGGACTTCATGAACCCAGTATGTGATGCACCACGAAAGCCACAACATAAAATCTGAGGTAGTCCAGCCCAAAATGCATAACCTCAATCTAATCATGACAAACCTGCACTGAGAGATGGTCAACAGAATAAATCAGCATTCTGCAAAAATGGCAAGGCCAAAAAATAAAAAATAAAAAGGAAAGACTAAGGAATCGTCACAGACTACAGAAAACTAAGGATAAATAATAATAATAATAATAAATGCTGTGTGGTTTCTTGAACAGGAAATGGACTTAGTGGAAAACTACCAAAATCAGAGTACATTTTTTAAGTTTAGTTAATTATATTAAAACAATGTTGATGTTCTGGTTTTAATTATTGCACAACAGTCATTTTTTTTTAATGTAACGTGTTAATATTAGGGAAAGTTAGGTGAGGGATATATGGAATCTACTATTTGGCAACATTTCTGTGAGTCTAAAATTTGTTCAAAAAAATTTAAATATCCCAGAGAAGAAATATAGGTTTAAAGGCTGATTCCTTGCAATTGATGGGTAAAGCATTCTCATGCATTCGGTGCATATATCTATTACCATCTCATTTTAGCCATGTTGTCAGCCTTTTAACCAAATATATTTCCCTCCATAGATAAAACAAGTCTGATCTTCCTTTTCCACTATGAAGGGGAGGTGGCATGCACACCCATCAAAATATAGTTTATTTACAAGTCCGCGTGCTCCTGAAAAGCTGTACATCAATCTGAATTTACAAAGCAAATTATGTCATCAATGTATTAGCAAGTGCTTACTACTTGAAGATAGGTGCCATTATTTCTTTTTGGAAGATGAGAGATAACCCCATAGTTTGTCTTTGAGCAAAGTGGTAGTCACTGATGAGGCACTTCAATGAGACATCTCTCATCCACAATTCAAAAGCATTAAAAGAGAGAGCAGTAAGAACCACAGCTGGCTCCTGGTTTGCCTTCATGGTCTCCTCTCCCTTCCATTTCTCTACTGACCTCGTGCTCCCACTGTGAATTACTTTCAGTCCCCGAATCTGCTTGGTGAATCCTATCTCCATGTATGAACTGTAGGGTGTGTACCTATGTGTGACTTCTCTTTGAGTCCAAAGGTTGGTTGGATGTTTCCATAGTCAGT